AAATAAAGGAAAAAAAGATGTGAGTTATAGATACAATGGAACAATGGAGTAGTAGTTGGCAACAAAAAAGAATGAAATCTTGTCATTTACAACAACATGGATGGAACTAGAGGGTATTATGTTAAGTGAAATAAGTCAATCAGAGAAGGAAGATATCTTATGTTTTCACTCATATGTGGAATTGGATGAATCATGGGAGTCTACTCCCGAAAGCAAGAGCACACGGTACATACTGTATGTTAGCTAACTTGACAATAGATTATATGTAGAAATAAAATTTTTTAAAGTCAAAAAATCACAGTGACATATCAACTTATACCTCTCAGAATGGCTAAAATCAAAAACACAAGAAATAACCAGCATGGAGAGGCTGTGAAGAAAAAGGAATGCTTGCGCACTGTTGGCGGGAGTGTACATTGGTACAACTGCGGAAGAAAACAGTATGTCGGTTCCTCAAAAAATGAAAAGTAGTTTTTGAATATTTGTGATCCCACTCACCCAAATTCATGTGTTAAATCTTAATGTTCAATGTGATAGTATTTTGAAGTGGGGGCTTCATGAGGTAAGTCACGAATGGGATTAAGTGCCCTTATAAAGGAGGGTTGCGAGAGCTCCTTTGGCCCTGTGCCAAGCAGGAAGACCAGCATCCGCGAACCAGGAAGCTGGCCCTCACTGTACACTGAATCTGCCAGTGCCTTGATTTTGGGCTTCCCAGCCTCCAGAACTGTGAAGAATAAATTTCTGGTTCTCATAAGCTTATGGCATTTTGCTACAGCAGCTCAAAAGGACTAAGACAAGCCTCTAGGAACCACAGACAACCACTAGGACCTAAGGGAAGTCTCCAGCCGACAACTAGCAAAGAGATGGGGAAATAAGTACACTCATACAGTTACAAGGAAATTCTTTTGCCAACAAACTCAATGAGCTTGGAAGCAGATTCTTTCCCATTTGAGTGTCCAAATGAAAGCACAGTCCTGCTGACACCTTGGTTACAGCCTTGTGAGAACCTGTACAAAGGACCCAGCTAAGTCACGCTTAGCTTCTGACCCATAAAAATGTGAGATAAATGTGTGTGGCTTTAAGATACTATGTTGGTGGTGATCTGTTATATGGCAATAGCAAACTAATACTACTAAAAGATATTTACTTTTAACCCCACTAGCTACATAGTTACAGAAAAACACTTTTTACTTTTGCAATTTCAACAAGACATACTCACTCTCCCCATATTTACTCAACATCATTCTTGTAGCAGGAAAGAAAAAGAAATTAAAGTTCTAGGAATTGGAAAGAAATAAAAATGTCACTATTTATAGATTATATGTCACTGCATGTACAAAATCCAAAGGATTCTGCAGATAAAATATTTGAATAAGAAACAATATATGAATTACTATATTGCACACCTGAAACTAATATAGCACTGTATCTTAAATGGAATTAAAATTAAAAATGAAATAAACAAAAGAAACAATCTAGTAAGAGATTTTAGCAAGATAACTGAATCCAAGCTCAATATGTAAAATAATTTTATTTCTATAAGTTAGCTACAAACAGGAAATAAAATTGATTTTTAAAAATAACATTTATAATAGGATCAAAAATATCAAATAACTGGAAATAAATCTAAAAAATATCTGTACGACCCTTATAGGGAATTTTTTAAACATTGAGAGCTAGACAACTAAAGTAATAGTTGTTTGGAAAAATCAGTATAAGAAATGTCTTTCCCTACAAATTGTTTACAGATTCAATACAACTGAATCTTTGCTTTGCAGAGCTTGCTAGGTTGATTATAAAAGACCCGTGGAGCCCTTTCTCCCTTTCTTCTTCCTCTTCCCTAACATTTCAGTTCACAGTCATAGAAAGAGAAGCAGGGAGCTGTGGTGGTTCAGAGTGAGGTGTTGGAGCTTAGATAGAATGGGGAAGGCATTAAGTGTGGGACAGTCACCCTGCACAGTGTTGGAGCTCAAGTGAAAGGGTCCCTGAAAAGTGAATGATGCCGAATAATGAAGTACCACAGACTGAACAGGGTGGGAAGGCATCTGCACAGGGGAAGAGTAGCCCAGCATGGGTTTTCAGAACCTGCGGGGTGGGGGGTAGGGGGGTGGGGGTGGGGGTAAGTCATCTGCAGAGGAGGTGACCTGGCACAGGGTGTCTGAGAAAGGAGATATTTACATGTCTCAAAGTACTTCCCAATAAAAATACTAATTAATTGTAAAGTGAAAAGTTAACATTCCAGGGGAGAAACCTGGCAGATACTACCTCCGGTGGTCAACATTAACATCATGAGTATTGGGACAAATCAAAATTGTAGGTCACGTGATAGGATGTAATGAGACGAGTAGACAGTGCTGATACTCTTGCTAAACATGTATGATCTGAATTTTATCGTAAGGGAACCTAAGAAAAATCAACATTGAAAGACATTCCACACTACTGGAATTTACTCTTCGAAAGATGAAAAGTCATGAAAGTCAAGGAAAGACAAAGGAACTGTTCTAGACTGAAAGAGATGATGACACACAACTGAATTTGCTACATGGCTCTGAACTACAGGAACTTCCTCGCTATAAAGTATACTACAGGTAAGTGACAAAACTTTCAAAGAATATGAGGAATAAATGATAGAATGTATACTTAATGAGTGCACTTATAACATTTTTTTTCAGTGCTGTAAATGTATTTTCTCTTATAATTTCTTTAATATTTTTCTTTAGCTTATTTTATTGTGAGAATATAGTATGATACATATACTATATAAAAGATGTGTTAATTGACTGTTTTATGGTCCTAGTAAGGTTTCTGGTCAACAGTTGATTATTAGTAAAGTCTTCGGGGAGTCAAAATTTATTCATAGATTTTTGACTATGGGGCTTGGGTCAGTACCCTTAACCCCATTATTCAAGGGTCAATTGTATGTTACTTTTCTGGTTGTGAAGGTTGTAGGGTAGTTATGTGGAATGTACTGACTTGTAGGATTTAAATGCTACAGGATCAGGCATAATACTAACAATTTACTTGCAAATGGCTCGGGGCGGGGTGGGGGTGGGGGGGCAGTTCTTCTTTGCTTTTCTCTAGCTTTGTTTCCAAAAAGCAAATAAAAAATTAATAAGGAGAAAAGGTGAAAAGCCTTCTCCATGTGGAAAGAGCTATGAATCAATGTTTAAAATTACAATTATAGATAGGTTTCGTGGCACCTTAAAATTGTCATACATACAATCACTGGCAATAGCCGTAGCAGGAATACATCCAAATAATGTCTAAATCTTTAGGCCCATGTATAGTAAGAAAAATGGGAAAATACAACAAAGCCATCCATTAACACCACTGCAGTATTAATGACAATTTGGTTGTTGGGGTGTGTTCAAGCAACTGATAGTGGGTGGAGTGGGTCCAAGTGTGTAAAACTCAGCAGTGCTGGTTTCCACGTACAAAATCTGCTTAAAAGTTAATTCAGTGCTAAGAAACACAGTTTAAAATATTCACATTACACACGAGACAAAAATATCTTTAATAATCTTTAATAATGATTTTCACATATAATGTGTTCAGTGGGAAACAAAACATGATGTAAACATCCAGTAAATAAATTTTTACTATTTATTTTTCAGATCATATACTTCTTCTTTAAAATCTCTACATATTCTTGTGAGGTTTTGGCAATTAGATCCTCAGTTCGACCTGTACTGTCAGCAGATCCTAAAGGAAACGTTCGAGGGGATTCTGCTTCAAATTCAACAGCAGCTGAAAAGGGAAAGAAAGAATTCTATTTTTTATCCAAAATGCTTTTGGGGCGCCTGGGTGGCTCAGTTGGTTAAGCGTCGGACTTCGGCTCAGGCCATGATCTCATGGTTCATGGGATCGAGCCCCGCTCAGGCTCTGTGCTGACAGCTCAGAGCCTGGAGCCTGCTTTGGATTCTTTGCTCATGCTGTCTCTCTTTCTCTCTCAGAAATAAATTTTTAAAAAAGTAAAAACAAAAAAGATGCTTTTATCTACAAGTTAGTAAAAAGAAAAAAGTTGAGGCCTTTATAAAGGTTAAGAAAAGTGAAAAATACCTCCATACAACTCCAATATGAAATGCAAGATTACTGTTAAATATATTTTGCTCAGGGTTGCACACTGAATTAATTGCTATTGTGGATAAATATCACAGCTTCTAGTTTTTTCATTACAAGGTGAAATTCCAAGAAAGTCACACAGTCTACCATGAACAATCATATGCTATGAATTGAAAACTCAAGCAAGCATTTCCAAACAGAGTCATATATACAGGTATAAACGGCAGGTAGAAAACAAAGCACTACTGGAACACACTGAAGGGACATCCCAGTTTTGCGTCCATATCGTCTGCTTTCTGGGGAACGTGATATGTAAGGGGATACCTGAAGGACAAGGAAAAAGTATGCTAGGTAGAGGCAAGAAGTACATGCAAAGAGCCAGAAGGGAGGAAGAACATGCGTGGAATTAGAAGTACTTTAGCCTGATGAGGTGCTAGAGCAAAGCTGCAGAGTAGGGTAAGTAGTGAGAGAGAAGGCTGAAGAACCTGGCAAGAATCAAATTGATTTGGGGGTTTTTATTCCATGCTAAGGAATTTGAAGTTTTACCCAAGGGCAAAAGCAATGACAAAGTCAGTGAGTGAAGATTTAAATGTTACCTGTCACGTGACAGCTAAATGAGCTGTAATTACTTCACCAAGTATTACTAAGACAACTTTGGTTTTTTGGTCTTCTGTCACTAGCAGGATCAAAAATTTATAAAGCACATCTTTTCTGAGAATTGTGCAGGCTGACAGTTCCATAGGGACGGCACAGTGAAGGAAGATTATAGCCAGAAACAATAACAGACATACAGACTTCGGGAGATGTTTTTTAAAAATATTTTTTAATGACTGTTTTTGAAAGAGAGACAGAACAGAAGGGGTAAGGGGCAGAGAGAAAGGGAGACACAGAATCTGAAGTAGGCTCTAAGCTCTGAGCTTTCAGCACAGAGCCTAACTTCGGGCTCAAACCCAGGAAATGTGAGGTCATGACCTGAGCTGAAGTCAGTTGCCCAACAGACTAAGGCACCAGGGCGCCCCTACACTTTTGGAGATTTTTTAAAAAGCTATGAAACATGATGACTAATTAAGGAAAAAATATATTCTTCATTATGCTCATGCTTTTACATTTTTTATATGTACCAAAGATATTAATGTAGTATCTATTGTCCCAACAATGGAAAAGGATGCCATTTACTTCTTACAGCTTATTTCAGAAATCAATAAGATCTAAATTTATAAATTTTGGCAACATACCTTTTTCGAATTCTCTAGTTATAACTTTATCCAACTCCTGCTGCATCTGAAAGAAACCAAATATTATTTAGAATGTTTGAAGCAAACAAAAGACATTGCAGGAATTATATACAGCTTAGGAAATGTGGTCTAGAATAACACTTCTAGAGACTAAAACAAGTTAGGGATTGCTTAAATAGAATGACCATCACATTTACATATAAAATAAATTCCTACTTATTTAAGTTTTAGTTAATTGAGGACAGATATCTATCTATCTATCTACTGCTATTTAAGTAGATCTGATAAAAAGTACACTTATTATCAGTTTATTTAATATATATAATTTTTGAAAGGTGCTGTTTGATCTCACTGGTACAAAAAAGTTTAAATAAGAGTCATAGTTTATACTGAATGTATTACTTGGAAATTCTTAGAAAAACTGTCCTTTATGAAAGTTTAATCAGTTTTTTACTTTTATGAATTGTTCCTTAAAATGGGATTTCCATGTTTGCACCCCTAGAAAAACAAAAATTTAAGGCATGGTTTTTGCTATTAATTTTTCAGGACAGACTCTTAAGTATATAAAAAGAAGAAAGTGGGAATGTCATACTGTCATGTGGAAATCTACTGGCAAATAACTGAGTAAAAATACTTTGTTGTCTGTATTATGACTGAAACATTTCTTTTTTTTTTTTTTAATGCTTTATTTATTTCTAGGAGAGAGAGAGAGAGAGAGACAGCGTGAGCAGGGGGAGGGTCAGAGAGAGAGGGAGTCACAGACTGAAACAGGCTCCAGGCTCTGAGCTGGCAGTCAGCACAGAGCCCGACACGGGGCTCAAACCCACGAACCGCGAGATCATGACCCAAGCGAAAGTCAGACGCTTAACCGACTAAGCCACCCAGGCGCCCCAAAACATTTCTTTTCATATGGACACAATGTTTCAGAAAATCTGTTTAAAGAGAGGAAAAGTATAGGATTAAACCAGTCTTCAAACTTAGTTTCTGATTTATACTTTCCAGAATTAGAGATAAGGAAAACAATATATAATTTTTAATTATAACTTGTTTCCTTTCTAAAATTAGGACCAAGTTTTGAAACACTTGCCTTTTTAAAGTTATAGTTATCTACTTAATTATGAAACGGGTAAGAATATATCAAACTACAGTTGACCCTCGAATAACACAGGGGTTGGGGTGCTGACCCCTGTGCCATCAAAAACCCATGTATAATTTTTTGAGCCCCCAACACTTCATTACCAATAGCCTACTCTCGGGGCGCCAGGGTGGCTTAGTCCGTTAAGCATCAAACTTTCGCTTAGGTCTTAATCTTGCGGTTCGTGGGTTTGGGCCCCGCGTCGGGCTCTGTGCTGACTGCCAGCTCAGAGCCTGGAGCCTGTTTCAGAGTCTGTGACTCCCTCTTTCTCTGACCCTCCCCTGCTCACGCTGTCTCTCTCTCTCTCTCTCCTAGAAATAAATAAAAAAATATTAAAAAACAACAACAACAACAACAAATAGCCTGTCGACTGGAAGCCTTGCCGGTCACATAAACAGTTGATGAATACATGTTGTGTACAGTAGAATAAGCTAGAGAAAAAAATGTCATTGAGAAAGACACTTTTTCTTTCTCCATGTGTAAGAGGAAATACACTTAAGAGTACTTTACAGTATCGAAAAAAAAAAATCCATGTGTAAGTAAAGTGGACCTGAACAGTTCAAAACCATGTTGGTCAAGGGTCAACCGTAAATTACAACTGTTCCTATCTAGAATGTTCTTATTTAGATCTTACTTACAAAAGGCACCCTCTCAGCGAATGCCCAAAATGGGGTCTAAAATAGTGTACTGAACATAATCAACACTGTGCTGATGAGGATATCCGATGCCTTTACAAATTTAGGTGTGGAGACAAAACTTTTGGCTAACACGTTTCCCAAGATTTCCAGAGACCTTTTTTCAATTGGAGTCCCTTTTTTCCCTAATACCTTTGTGTCAACTGAAGTCCAGGGGACATCCAATGTGATACCAGTTTCAAGATCCAACTTCAGCTTTGACAATTCTATACACTATGCTATGCTCTCTGCCGGAAGTGGAGCTCCCCTCTGTCACCATACAACATTCCTACAGTATTATTGATGAAGTTTCCTTATGCTGTATTCTTCATTCCTGTGACTTATTTTACAACTGCAAGTTTGTACCTCTTCATCCTCTTCCCCTAGTTTGCACATTCCTCTCTACCTACCTCCCCTCTACCAACCACCACTTAGTCCTCTGGATTTACGATCCTGGGTTGTTCCTTTGTTTCGTTTTTTATATTCCCCATGGAAGTGAAATCATATGGTATTCGTCTTTCTCTGATTTACTTTACCCAGCGTCATACCCTCTAGGTCTGTCAATGTTGTCACAAATGGCAAGCTCTCACTCCTTTTTATCGCTGAATTCTACTCCACTGTATATATATATGACACTTCTTCTTTATCCATTCATCTATCGACAGACACTTAGGTTGCTTCCATATTTTGGTTACTGCAAACAGTGTTTCCATAAACATAGGGATGCATCCAACTTTTCAAATTAGTGTTTTCATTTTCTTTGGGTAAATACCCAGTAGTGGATTTAATGAATTTATACTGTGCTTCTATTTTTAAGTTTTTGAGGAACCATAACACTCCTTTGACAATAGCATTGTTTTTTTTTTTAATTTTTAATGTTTTATTTATTTCTGAGAGAGAGAGAGAGAGAGAGCAGGGGAGGGTCAGAGAGAGAGGGAGACACAGAATCTGAAAATCCGAGCCAGCCGTCAGCACAGAGCCTGATGCGGGGCTTGAACCCACAAACCGTTGAGTTCATAACCTGAGCAGAAGTGAGATGCTTAACCGACTGAGCCACCCAGGCGCCCCTTGACAATAGCATTATATTCAGGCCTTATAAAATGAATAATGTGACAACATTACTATACCGAACTTCTAAAATTAATAACTCATTACCAGATGATGGGAGAAGGCTTTATTGAAACATTTTTATATTACCATTAATACATACTATGGAAATAGAAACCACTTTTTTATATGACATGACCTAAGGAACTACGAATGTAATGTTATTATCTTTTCCCCCAAATCTGTTCCTACATATTTGCCTCTGACCTTTATGTTTACTTCTCAGTAAAACACTGTCTTTACATGTGGAAATACCTGTGAAGTCCATTAATAAGAAAACATGTGCAATTTCATTTCTACTTTCCATTGATCAGAAATATAAGAGGGTGAGAAAAGAGGGTGAGAAAACACAGAAAACTCTGTTTCAGCAAATTTTCATTCAGAGAATTTTTTAAAAGAATTTTTAGTCAGAAGGATTTTCTCATTAACTGTTACGATTCAAATACGGCCCACATAACTCTAAGGTTCCCTGGGGACACTGCCGGATTGAGGGACAAGGAAGTCACAGCTGTCGTCTCCATCTCTCCTGTAGCTATAAACTCTACTTGTCTCTGTTTTACACAGCACAGTTTAATACCAAAATTACAATACAATACAATACAATACAGTACAATAGAATAAAATACAGTAAGTTCTACTCTTTGAAAAGAAATTTTTTTGAAGGTATAAAAAGTCACTAATTTAGTTAAAATCCATATTTTTGCATAAGAAACAAAAGGCGCTCAGAGAGACTGTACTTTGCCTGAGGTGAAAAAACCAACAAGATGCAGCCCAGTAATGCACTTCTGGTCTTACCAAATCCAGAGTTCTATGCCAGTTACTTCATCGTAGTCAGGAAAAATACATGTATTTACACATTTTAAAGTCATGAATAAAAATAAAGGAACAGAAATTATCTTACCTCCTTTTAGTAGCAATTTTTAAGCACAGATTTTTTAAACTGGAGGACAGGGAACTTGTAAGAGAAAATCTTTAGTTGAACCAAGCAAGCTGAAATTGAGGAAATTCTCCCTTGAAAGAGTTATTCATTTCCTCCAAATAAAATTTGGATTACCAAAATCAATCAAAAAATGAGAATCCATGTTGTGGCTATTTATAGCAAAACTGAAAACACAACACAGATTTTTCTTTACCGTCCAGCATGCTTCTGTCCAACCTCTCATCATTAGCTGGTATGTACTAAAGACATGATTAGCTTTATTTATAATTTAAATCCAGTCAGAAATTATAGATGAGCCTTCACTTTCCACATGAGGACTTATCTCTCTCTACCTTCCTCACAACAAGAAGGGAGATTTACCTAATGGGTGAATTTGGGACAAGGATCTAAATAGTGCTGATGTGGTTCCGAATCTCTTCTTTCAAAAGGTGTGCCTGCCCACAGTAACATAAATTTGGGTCTGCTCTCTGCTCTGTGGTAAGCACCCTAAGCCCTGGGATGGGTGTCAAGCTTCTGTTTCCTCCATTTACAACTGTGTGGGGAATTGCTCAATTTGGGATGAAGTATTGGGAAGCCCACTATGGCTAATATACCTAAATCATATCTTCCAAATGGTTAGTGTGTATTAGTAATAAAGCTACTAAATTTATCTCCATCTCCCTGACTCCTGTGTTCTGAACTTAGAAAGGGAAGATCAGTGTCACTAGCCACCTCCCCAGTGTCACCTGTCACAGCTCCACCAAGACAAATGACCACTTTATCCTGAAAATGAGAGATCTAGAGATTAAAAACAAAAAATTATAAAATTTACTCATTTCCTTAATAGCACCTATAATTATGACTTTTACTGAGTGTGTATTATTAGTCAAACAAAACATAATTTCACCAAATTAAAAGCAAAAATTATATCAGAAATCTGAAACCCAAGGTAAAAAAGATAATATAACTAACCTTGGTCAAGTAAGTGTCAATTGAAGGCCGTCGGTTTGATGTAGGAATCACTAAGTTTTCGCTTGGAGTAAGATTTCTATGGAGCCCTGAACTATTTTTAAGATTTCCAACATTCCGTGGTTCCAGGGCTGGCCTCACATTAAGAGGGGTGAGTAAAGTTCTATGCTGCTGTTTCTCCATCAGAAGTTGGAAATTGATCTCTTCCAGCTTCTCATTAGACCTGCAAAGATTAAAAACACAAATACATTTTGTTTTTACCTAAATCATTCCTAAATGACTTACATTTTTAAGTTTCCATAATAGTAAACAGAATTTGCCATTAAACAGTATTTTCCACACTAAACATATGACAGAGCACACCTACTATATAAAATTATAGTTTTAAAATTGTTCTAAAGAAGAACTTCTGTTTCTAGGGGGATTCCTAATTAATGACTCAAATTAGGGAAGGGAGAGAAATGGCTATCAGTGATGTATGTGGCTTAACAAGTAATACTTGCTGTCTTCTGCAATACTTGTACTTACAAGATCCTTAAGGATGCCATTATACACGCTTATATTTAGTAATCTGTTTATAGATATAAAAATAAACCATCCCTCAAAGACATTTTCAAGCATTTGCTCTCACCACTCCTGTACATTTCACTTATTATCTCAAAGAAACTGAGCATTTGACACTGAGGAATCATTTAGACCATCAATCTCTAGGAGAGAAGTAGATGGGAGAGGTGTGATCAGAAAGAACTAAAACAGCTACAGAGGCAATTCGCATACAAGAGTCACCAAGGCTCCGGAGGTAGAATCTGCCCTTTCTGTCTTCAGTCTTCCAGACACCTCCCTCCCACCATGGTGCTATTTTTAGCCACTTTGGGAGTTATACTACCCTTTAGCCCTATGTGAGTCCTTCTGTATTTCACATGTATGCCTTTGTGTAAAGGAGAAAACCTATTAATGATAGTTTGTCTCAAGGCCCACTCTAGTAATGATACCAACGATCACAATCAAGAAAATAAATTTACCAAGCTGCCAGGATGAGTATTGACCTTTTGGTTTAAAGACGTAATCGTCCAAAAATAAACTCACTGACATTTCTATTTAGGGCCATTCTAACAAGCAATTTTATAATAATATGCTTCTAAGCTAGAAAGCTTCAATTAACTTAAAGACTGGGAGATTTGATTAATGGAAAATATACAGGGGAAAAAACAATAAAGTCATGTAAAACCAAAAAAAGGAAGAGAGATGCAAACTGTCCTGGACTAACATTTCGAGAAGTTAAGTTCATTTACAAACATCCTTTTCCAAAATTCTACTCTCTAGTTGGCTTTCACTTCCTACCCATGATCCTGGCTCCACAAAAATTACGCTTTAGAGGCAAATTAATAAGCTAAATTGCTTTTCTATGATTCTGTTTTGACTTACTTATTAAGCTTATTTGCCAAAGACTCTCTAGCTTTTACTTCTTCTAGGTAGAGTTGCTGGTATTTTTCCAATTCTGTTAAGTTAGAAGTTTCTTGATAAGTCTTCTTAAAGAGTTCAGATTCCAGATCTTTAATTCTGAGTTCCATTTGACTTCTCACTGTCTCATTTTCTCTTAACTTTCCTTGAGATGCTGCTTGAATCTAAAGCAAATGAAATGGATATTCTTAAAATAGTTTTAATATGAATAATTATATTTGTTTCCTTTAGTTTGAGTCAATAATTCAAGGAGCAATTTTAAGTGGAAAAAAAGCTGAAGTGTAAAATATTTATCATTAATGTCAACAGAATTAAATCTGATTTATAAAGTACAATCATTCTTGTATTAGTATTCATGCAATCTGATAATTCAAATGACAGAATTAAAAAATGTTTAAAGTCAACAATAAACTTAAGAATAATCCAAGTACAGTACAATTTTTAAACCATAATTTTTTTCCTCTTAATAGTGAGAATAATTTTTTAAATCATAATTTTTTCTTTTCCTCTCAATTTAGTTAGAATAATAACAAAAATTGAAATCTTTAAAGGGAGGTACAAATGCCTCCAGAAATCTATAAAACAAATTGCTATAAAGGAAGTAGAGGAAACCGATACAATACATATATCCAAAATGTAATTTGCAGTGAAATGACTTAAAACACATTACAGATCAATAAATTAACCTGTAAGAACAGATTGACTTCCTGTAATTTTTCTACTACATCCAGTCGTGCTCTTTCTTCAATCTCCCGTTTATACTGTTCTACTTGACTGTTTTGTACCCTATACATTTCTATAAGACTGTTGAGGTTTACTACTTCTTGTTCTAACTTATTTTTATTGCGCTCTAGTTTTTCACATTTCTTTTCTAACGCTTTCATAGATAATAACTCCTGTTGAAGAGCTTGATTTTTTGCATCCAGGCATAGATATTGTGAAGATGCAGCTTCCAGTTTTGTTGTAAGGTCATCAACCTGCATGAATAAAATAATAGTTTGGAAATGGAGTGAAAAGAGTCTAACTCAAAACTACTATCAATTTTTTTAAGATTTTATTTTTAAGTAATCTCTACAACCAGTGTCAGGCTTGAACTCACAACCTCAAGATCAAGACTAACTAAGCCAGCCAGGCACTCAAATTCTGAAATAAATTCATTTGCAACAAAATGTTATCTGTACTATGGGAGACTTTCAGAATTGGGAACCTTAAGTAACTCAGAAAATCAAGAGCGAACTTAGAGCCACCAGGTGTTACTCAAACAGATCTTGGCTACCACTGTCTTTACTACACAACATTTGCCCTTGAGTTTTATACTTTTATTTTTCTATGACTCTTGCAGATCTTCCTCCATGAAATACATCACCTCTTAGTAGAAAGTCTGACCCCTTCCCCATAATTTTAAAAGAAGTTTTAGCAATGCCATATGGACTTATGCACGCTTAAGTCAAAAAATGCCTCCCAAGATAAGGAAATTATCTTATTTGAAAATAAGACTCTAATGAATGAATCTATAAATAATTATTCTAATGCCACAAGCCTTTTTCTGAGCTGCAAATGTCTTATGCTACTCTGAACTGGATTCCCAGGAGAAATGATTCTCAAGGTTAAGAAATCCTATCTCCCAGTATAAAAATTTAGTTAGATGATCCATATTTATTCAGCCAAAAAATATTTTAATTCAATATTGTTATCTTGTAATCCTTTGTGACTTTCTACCAACGAAAAGATCATACTAGGGGCGCCGGTGTGGCTCCGTCGGTTAAGAGTCTGACGTCGGCTCGGGTCATGATCTCACGGTTTGAGGGTTCGAGCCCAGCGTCGAGCCCTGTGCTGACAGCTCAGAGCCTGGAGCCTGCTTCAGATTCTGCATCTCCTTCTCTCTCTGCCTCTCGCCTGCTCACACTCTCTCTCCCTCTCTCAAAAATGAACATTTTTTTAAAAAGATCATACTAAACAACAAAAACAACAACAATAAAAAACTTGCTGGAGTTTCAGTGATGCTGCATTGGGAAGGACTTCCTTCCATTATGTAATTGGTAAGACAAGGTGAATGGATATGGTGGTTTTATAAATTTGTTGATATTTCCCTGTGAAAATCCCTCCCGTTAAATAGATGCTGGCGTCAGTAAGTGGTTTCTAGTGAAGAGAGAACATGCAGAACTGTTGTGATTTTTAGGGCCAGGTTAGAAAATGTGATATAGCTTCCTTCGGTTCCTTTGGACTTTCTTTCTCTAGGGAAGTACCCTTAGAATCCAAACATGACGTTGTGAGGAATCCCAGGTCATCTAGTGAATCTTCACTTGTAGCCAATGGGTAAATTTTACTGTTTTCTAAATGTGAACATAGGTTTTAAGTATTCATTCCAAGAAGAAGAAGAAAGGAGGAGGAGAAAGAAGAAGAAGAAAGAAGGAGAGGAAGAAGATGGGGAAGAGGGAGAAGAAGGGGAAGAGGAAGAAAAAGGGGAAGAAGAAGAAAAAGGGGAAGAGGAAGAAGAAGATGAGGAAGAGGAGGAGGAGACGATGACGATGACCATGGAACAACCTGAGTGACTGCTCCTAATGAACAGAATATATGAATATGATGCTGTGTGTATTCCAAGCCTAGGTGACAAAAGACAGGGCAGCCTCTGCTTCGCTCTGTATCTCCGGCTGCCTACTTGGCATCTAACCCACCATCTAGTGAGGAAGCTCAGGCCACAGAGAGGGTCTAGGCATGTCGCTGCAAGTGTTTCTGCTGCCTCCCAGACGGAAGTCCCAGGCAACAGCCAGCATCAACAACCAGACGTGAGTGAACAAATCTTCTAATGGTTCCAGCCCCAAACCTTTCATTGCCCCACTTGAAGCTGAGTAGGGCAGAGACAGGCTATCCTGGCTACACTTTTCCTAACAGATTTGTGAACAAAAGAAATCTAAACTTTGGGGAGTTTGTTAAAAAACAAAAAAGATAAATTGAAAAGTGGATGAAAAAAAGAGATAAGATACGTAAATTTACATAGTAGAAACTGGTCCCCATGAAAGTAGGATGTAATATATGTTAAGATTAACTTATTAACAACAAACAGTGCTAATGAGAAGAAGCAGGTAACTAGAAGATGTAAGAAGTTTTTCTCTCAATTTTCCCCCAGTTCGATGATATTAGTTGTGCATTTTTCATACACGGCTTTTATTATGTTGAGGTATGTTTCCTCAAAACCTACTTTGTTGAGGGTTTACATCATAGATATAATAGTTTGTCAAATTCTTTTTCTGCATCTATTGAAATGATATGATTTTATCCTTTATTAATATGATGTATCACACTGATTAATTTGCACATATTGAACCACCCTTGCAAACCAGGGATAAATCCTATTTGATTATGGTGAAGGTTTGTTTTTAATGTTTGTTTCTTTTCATTTATTTTTGAGAGAGATAGAGACAGTGTGAGCAGGGGAGGGTCAGAGAGAGAGGGAGACACAGAATCTGAAGACAGGCTCCAGGCTCTGATCTAGTTGTCAGCACAGAGCGGGGCTCAAACCCACAAATCGCGAGATCATGACCTGAGCGGAAGTTGGACGCTCAACAGACTGAGCCACCCAGGCGCCCCTTAATGTTTGTTTATTTTTGAGAGAGAAAGGCAGACAAAGAGCAAGCAGGGGAGGGACAGAGAGAAAGGGAAACAGAGAATCTGAAATAGGCTCCAGAGTCCAAGCTGTCAACAGAGCCTGACACGGGGCTGAAACCTATGAAACATGAGATCATAACCTGAGCTGAAGTTGAGCACTTAACTGACTGAGCCACCCAGGTACCCCCGGTGAATGATTTTTTAATGTATTGTTGGATTCAGTTTGCTAGTATTTTGTTGAGGATTTGTGCATCTATGTTCATCAGAGATATTGGCCTGTAATTCTCTTTGTGGTGTCTTTATCTGGTTTTGGTTATCAGGGTAATGCTGGCATCATAGAATGAATTTGGAAGTTTTCCTTCCTTTTCTGTTTTTTTTTTTTTTTTTTTTTGCAACAATTCGAAAAGAACAGGTAGTAATCTTTTTTGTATCAATTCTTCTTTATATATTTGGTAGAATTCACCTCTGAAACCATCTGGTCCAAGACTTGTATTTGTTGAGTTTTTTGATTACTGATTCAATTTCTTTGCTGGTTACTGATTTTTTTCAAATTTTCTATTTCTTTGATTCAGTTTGGTAATTTTTATGTTTCCAGGAATTTATCCATTTGTTCTAATTTGTCCAATTTGTTGCATATAGTTTTTCATAATAATTTTCTCATAACAATTTTCTCATAAAATTTTGTATTTCTGTGGTGTTGGTTGTTATTTCTACTCTCTCTTTTGTGATTTTATTTATTTGGGTCTTTTCTATTTTCTTGTTGATAACTCTGGCTAAAGCTTTATCAATTTTTTTTCTTTTTTTTTTTTTAATGTTTTATTTATTTCTAGGAGAGAGAGAGAGACAGCATGAGCAGGGGAGGGTCAGAGAGAGAGAGGGAGACACAGACTCTGAAACAGGCTCCAGGCTCTGAGCTGGCAGTCAGCACAGAGCCTGACGCGGGGCTCGAACCCACAAACCGCGAGATCATGACCTAAGCGAAAGTCGGAGGCTTAACCGACTAAGCCACCCAGGAGCCCCTAAAGCTTTGTCAATTTTATTAACGTTTTCAAAGGATGAGCTCCAGGTTTCATTGATCTGTTCCAGTTTTATCCGTTTTTTGTTGGTTTTCTGTATCATTATTTCTGCTTTAATGTTTTGTTTTGTTTTGTTTTTGAGAGAGAGAGCATACAGGAATATGGGAGGGAGGGGCAGAGAGGAAGGGAGAGAGAGAATCCCAGACAGGTTCCACGCTGCCAGCACAGAGCCCAATGCAGGGCTCCATCTCACAACTGTGAGATCAAAATTTGACTTGAGCCAAAATCGAGAGTCAGACACTTCACTGGTTAAGCCACACAGGCGCCCCCTGGTCTGATGGTTATTACTTTCTTTCTTCTGCTGGGTTCAGGCTTCATCTGTTGTTCTTTCTCTAGCTCCTTTAGGTGAATGTTATGTTGTCTGCGGTTTTACTTGCTTCATGAAGTAGACTTTCTATTGCTAGACCCTCTTAGAACTACTTTTGCTGCATTTCAAAGGTTTTTTTGAGCACTGTTTTTTCATTTTCATTTGTATACATGTAATTTTTAATTTCTTCTTCTATTTTCTGGTTAGTGATTCAATGTAGTAGCATGTTATTAAACCTCCATATATTTGTGGTCTTTTCAGATATTTTTTCTTGTGGCTGGCTTCTGGTTTTATAGCATTATAGTCTAGAAGGTGTGTAGTATGACTTCAATCTTTTTTTTAATAATTAAGTCCTATTTTATGTTTGTGATCTATTCTGGAGAATTGTCTATATATACTTGAAAACAATGTGTATTCTGTTTTAAGATGGAATGTTCTGATATATCGCTTAAGTCGATCGGGTCCGTTGTGTCATTCAAAGCCACTGTTTCTTTAGTGATTTTCTGTTAAGATGTGTTTTTTTGGTGATTTTTTGTTAAGATCTACTGATGGAAATGGGGTGCTAAAGTACCCTACTGTATTATTAATAAGTTCCTTTGGTTTGGTTATTGTTTTATGTAGTTGAGTGCTTCCATGTTGGGTGCATGAATATTTACAATTGTTAGATCTTCCTATTAAGTTATACTCTTTATTATATAGCCTTCTTTGGTTCTTGTTACAGTCTTTGGTTTTTTTTTTTTTTAATTTATGTATTTATTTTGAGAGAGAGAGTTAGGGAGCGACAGAGAGGTGGGAAGAGAGAAAATCCCAAGCAGGCTCCACACTGTCAGCATGGAGCCCAACATGGGGTTCAAACCCACAAGCCATAAGATCATGACCTAAGTCAAAACCTAGTTGGCCACTCAAATGACTGAGGCATCCAGGTACCCCACAGTCTTTGTTTTAAAGACTATTTTGCCTGATGAAAGTATTGCTACTTTTTCTTTTA